TGAACAGCTGTGATTCAAGAAGAGTCCCTGCGCCACACACAAACGTGGCTGAGAGATGTGCACATTGAAACATCTGAAGGCGGGCAGGTCAGAGTGAGCAGAGGAGAGGAAGGGAGAGGAGCAGAGACAGGTGCCACAGGCATAGCCCAGGACTCACTGTGAGTCTCTGGTGTGTGTGGGGGGGTCAGGCTGCTGGCTGCCTGCGCTCCCTGCAGCCTTGAAGAGCAGAGAGATACAGTGAGCATTTCTGCCTGAGTGGTCGGTATGTGCTGCGGCTGAGGCCAGGGACCAGGAGGCAGAACGAGTGCAGAGGTACGGCTGCAGCTGTCTGGGGACTGCCACTGCCAGGCAGGAAAGCAAGACCACGGGGCCTGGCCACCCCCCTGGCCCTCTCACAGCTAGCAGCGGGCCCCAGATGAAGCTGTAGCAGTGAGTGTCAGGCTGTATATTATCTGCAGCCCTGGGAACCGCAGAGGCAGAAGTAGGCTGCAGCTAATCCCAGTGACAGGGTGGAGATACAGAGGTGAGGCAGCTAAGGTCTGGCAGTTGCTATTACTGGGAGGAGAACAAAGCCACAAATGCACCAGCTAGCCTCTCCCAGCTCACCCCACCCACCCACCCACAGCGGCCGTACTGCCAGCAGCGTCTGGTTGCAGGAGGAGGCACTAGGATTTCGTGGGCTCATAACCTCATCGCCCACCCCATCTCCACATGGGTTGGTGCCCTAAAGTGACCTGGTTACAGAAGAGCTGCTCTCCTCCCCAGGGAATACAGAGCATCCTTCCATGGCCAGCAGAGGTCTGAGAAGTCAGGTCAGTGCAAGAGAAACTAAAAAAAAAAAAAAAAAAAAAACTTGTGCTTTAGCGCCACCTACTGAAAAACAAAGGAAAGACGTCTTGACCTTGTAACTAGAGAAGTGCTATTCTTAAGGGGAAAAAAGAAAAGGCAGGTTTCATTTTTTCATTCCCATAGATGCCTAGGCAGAAAAAGAGTCTATGAAATACCATGAGTAACCAAGGTAAGGAGGCAGCTCAGAAAGAAAATGAAAAAACTCCAGAGACTAAACTTAAACACATGGGAATATGTGATTTGAATGACAGAGTGCAGTTCTGGAAAAACTTAATGGGATACAAGAAAACACAGAAAGTTGAATACACTTGGAAATAAAATTAATGAACAAAACAAGTTCTTTACCAAAAAAAATTGAAACTTTAAAAAATAACCAAATAGAAATTCTGGAGCTGAGGAACTCAATAAAAGTGATGAAGAATGAACTAAGAACGTTTAGGAAATAAAGTTTACCAGATGGAGGAAAAAATCAGTGATGTTGAAGATATACTTCTAGAAAGGAGGGAGATTTGAGAGTAAAAGAAATGAAAGAAACCTGGCTGGTTTTACTCAGTGGTTAGAATGTCAGCCTAAAGACCCTCTGAGGGTCACAGGTTCGATTCCCAGTCAAGGGCATGTACCTGGGTTGCAGTTTGATCCCTGGCCCTGGATAGGGTCTTGCAGGAGGCAACTAATCAATGCGTCTCTCTCACATTGATGTTTCTCCCTCTGTGTGTCTCTCTCTTCCACTCTGTCAAAAAAAATCAGTGGAAAAATATCCTTGAGTAAAGATTAACAACAACCAAAGAAGAAACAAAAGAACTCTAGGAGAACTAACTCCATCAGAAAGAGCGATATAAGAATAAGGTATTAGCCAGAAGTAGTAGAAAGGAAGAAAGGAAGAAACCGTGAGCTTATTTAAACGAACAGCTGATGAGAACTTCCCAAACCTGCAAACCCTCAGCTCATATACCCAGTGGTGAAAAAGTGAAAGCCTTTCCTTGAAGATCAGGAACAAGGTAAGGATGCCCACTCTCACCACTGTTATTCAACACAGTACTGGAAGTCTTAGCCAGAGCAATCAGGCAAGAGAAAGAAATAAAAGGCATCCAAGTTGGGAACGTAGAAGTAAAACTGTCACTTTTTGCAGATAGCATTATTCTTTATATAGACAACCCCAAAGACTCCAGCAAACAACTAGTAGAAACAATAAACAAATACATACAGTAAAGTTGCAGGATACGAAATCAATGTACAAAAATCCATTGCATTCCTGTATACTAACAATGAAATATCAGGGAAAAAAAGAAAAGAAAAAAAAAATTCCTTCTGCAAATGCAACAAAATAATAAAATGCCTAGAAATAAATTTAACAAAGTATGTAAGGACCTATACACTGAAAACTACAAGGCATTATTAAAAGAAATAATAAAAGACACAAAGAAATGAAAAGATATTCCATGTTCATGGATTACAAGAATCGACATAGTTAAAATGACCATACTACCCAATGGCATTTTTTAAAGAAATAGGACCAAAAAAAAAAAAAAAATCATCGCATATGTATGGAACCATAAAAGACCCCAAATAGCCAAAGCAATCCTAAGAAAAAAGAACAAAGCTAGAGGTATCATACTCTCAAATTCAAATTATACTACAAAGTGGTAATCAAAATGATCAAAACAGTAGGTATTGGCAGAAAAACAGACACATAGACCAATGGAACACAACTGAGAGCCCAGAAATAAACCCACATGTATATGGGCAAATAAACTTGGACAAAGGAGTCAAAAACAAACAATGGAGAACAGAAAGCCCCTTCGATAAATGGTGCTGGAGAAATTGAAAAGCCACATGCAAATGAACGAAACTGTTACCATACATAAAAATTAACTCAAAATGGATCAAAGACCTAAATATAAGACCTAAAACCATAAATTACTTAGAAGAAAACTTAGGTACTAAAATTATGAACCTTGGTCTTAGAAAGTATTTTATGAATTTGACCTCAAAGGCCAGGGAATTAAAAGCAAAATAAATGAATGGGATCCTCTCAAACAAAAAAGCTTCTGCACAGCAAAAGACACTGTCAACAAAACAAGAAGTCAATCAAATGGAGGAAGATATTTGCAAGCAACACCTCAAATAAGGGTTTAATATTCAGAATATATAGAGAACTCATCAACAACAACAAAACCCAATCAAATTTAAAAAATGGGCAGAGGATCTGAACAGACACTTCTCCCAAGAAGACAAATAAATGGCCAACAGATAAATGAAAAGATGCTCAACTTCCCTAGCCTTTAGGGAAATGCAAATCAAAACTACAATGAAATACCACCCCACATCTGTTAGAGTGGCTTCTAATATCAACAAGTAATAACAAGTGTTGAAGAAGTTGTGGATAAAAAAGAAACCACTATGGAAAACAGTATGAAAGTTCCTCAAAAAATTACAAGTAGAGTTACCATATGACCTAGTAACCCCTCTTCTGGGTATCTACCCAAATGTTTGGAAAACATTTATTCATATAAATATATATACCCCTCCAGGGTCCAAACACAGTAGGGGCCAGGGCCTAAGGGCATGCAGTTCCCTGAAGGGTCCTCTGGCCCAGTTTCTAGTGAATGAAGTTTTATACACACACACACACACACACACACACACACACACACATCCCTATGTTCATTACTTCTTATTCATGGTGGCCAAGACATGCACAAAACCAGTGTCCTTCCATAGATGACGGATAAAGAGGATGTGGTACATACATACAATGAAATATTACTCAGCCATATGACAAGATGAAATACTAACATTTGTGACAACAGGGTAGATCTTGAGAATATCACGCTAAGCCACATAAGTCATATGGAAAGTCAAGAACATATGATTTCATGCATATGTGGGCTATAAAACTGAAAACAGCAAATGAACAAACAAAACTCACAGATAAAGGCGACAGTACGGTGGTCATCAGAGGACAGTGGGGTGGGAGGGAGTTAGTAAATGGTAAAGGGGATCAAATACATGGTGATGGAAGGAGAGCTGACTCTGGGTGGGGAACACACAATGCAATATACAGATAATTATAGACTTGTCAACTTTAAACCTATCTATTTTACATTAACCAATATTACCCCAATCAATTTAGTTTAAAAACCATGGCTGTGTGTGTGTGTGTGTGTGTGTTGTTAGGTATACTATTGTGCCAATAAAGATATTTTAATCTTATTGAATTGGTATTTATAATATTATCAAAGTTCCTCAGACCTTTTTATATAAGCAATCTGACAGTGGGTAAAGAATAGAGCATAACTGTGATGTTTGAGGCTCTTTTCACTGTCAAGTCAGAGTAAATGTCTATGGAAAAGGTTAAAAATCTCATTAGCAATTCAAAGGTGTGTCAAAATATAAAAATGATCATGGCTGTAAAAATAGACATTGCTAATAAAAACAGTTTTATTCTCCCTGTTAACAGAAATAATAATTTCCCTAATAAAAAATAGAAAGTATGAAAAAGGAAATTAAAATCACAACATCCAGATAAGCTTTTAAACATTTCACTGAACATACTTTCAAACCCAAACACACACACACACACACACACACACACACACACACACACACACAGATGATTTTACATAAATTGGACCAAGCATATAATGTTAGTTTGAAATCTGTTTGCTTTGATTCTTTTCTTTAAAATATAACTCAGGGATATCTTTTCATTTCAATAAATATAAAACTACATAATCATTTTTATGGACACAGAATATTCTATCATAGAATGCTCCATAATTCATTTAACCAAATCCCTATTGTAAGCTATTATTCCTTGGTTATTGTCTTTTTTGAAACAATAAACCTTGAAAACCATCCTGTACGAACCTGTTCACCAACTTGTCCAACTCTCTCTTCAAGGTAAATTCTACAATTATAATTATCTACAATAGAAGTGCTGGATAAGATACTATGAGTATTTTATTCATACCTAACAGAAAATTTGCCTAACTCTTTCCGAAAGCAATGTGCCCACATGTATAAAGATTCTTGGATGGGGGCTGGGGGGGGGGGTCTGCTGAGCGGAGGCAGGCAGGGTGGTGTGGTGAGGTGGAGAGGACAGTGTCCCTGTGACAGGGAGGGGCCGTTAGGCAACAAAGGAGTATGACATGGGCACAGGTCACAATGGGCAGGAGACTAAAAGCAGCCCCCGCGGGTGGTTTGGCCATAGGCGGCTTCGGCGTCCAGAGAAAGGAGGGGATCAGGACTGGCAGCTGAGCTTGCGGAGTCAGAGAGCAGAGGTTTGTGAACCAGTGTGGCCCAAAAGGAAGTCCTCCCCGAGTGAACACCAGTGTCAGCGCGCCTGGACTTCTGCGCACCCGGACATCTGCGGGGACCGGAGATCCGCACGCCCCGGGCGGGGCACAGTCTGGTGCAGAAGCAATTGTCTTTAACCCCGAGAAGTCAGTAATCAGCGCCCCCACCCTGCCCTCAGTCACTCAGAGACAGAAGCAGCCTGCAGAAGACCGCTGCTCGCGGGAATCAGGACACTGTGAGGTGTGACGAGGCAGGTGGAGGAGCCCTCGCAGTAGCAGAGAGCCGTGGACAGCCAACCCGAGGCAGCCAGAGGAGGCCCTGCGGCGGGCATGTTTAACACCCCCCCAGGGAACCTGCAGCAGCAGCTGTCCCAGGGGGAGTATGCTCTATTCAAGCACGCACAGATGTTCGAGAGCGACTTCATACAGGTCAGCAGAAGAGGGGAAGTGATTGACGTGCACAACAGTGTCCAAATGGTGACGGTGGGCATCGTCCGCACCAGCCCCCACCTCGTCCTACCTGATGTCATGCTGCTGGCCAGCCAGAAGACAGGTCACCAGCCTACACAGAACTTAGAGCTGAGGAGGCTGCTTCCTTTGATGTTTGTCAAGATATCCATCCATAACCTTAAAAAACAACAGCTCCGCCTGAAGCTGGCCACCGGCCGCTCTCTCTACCTTCAACTGTGTCCCCAGTGGGATATGAGAGATCTTTTTGCTCAGTGGGAAGACCTCATTTACATGCTGAACCCACCGGTGGAGGTTTACAGGGGTACCCAAGCCATTCCAGCGGATGCCATGCCGGACACGCCTGTGTTTGAGGAAGAAAACAGCCCAGAGGTGAGTCTCTGCAGCCTCGAGAAGCTGGGGCCGGGGTGCTTCAGGGACAGTCCTGAGGCTTATTTAAAAACGTGCTGTACTTGGAAGTGTTCGGGGCCAAACAAGCCTCCGCTTGGAGGCAGTGCTGCATTGGGGAGTTCCTAATGCTTCTCCAAAGTGTTCCCCAAGGCTGTATTTTAGAGATTATTAGCTGGCAGCAACTCTTAATTTCATATTCAATATTGCTTTGCAACTGCAGCATCCTCACCATCCAGTCTACTCTTGAACATATACCACTCCAACCCAGGCAGGTGACAAGCCGTGGGATGTAATGTCTCTCCACGGCTGCCGTGCACTGGGTTCTGTGCACATCCGTGGCAGGGCGACGTACCTGCACGCGTGGGCACCATTTGTTAGTAGCTATGAAACAGTCAAGTGCATGCTGCTTTAGCAGCAGAAACACCAACACAAGTGCTTTTAAAAAGCCTATGAGGCTATTCACCGGAGAATTATAACAGTGCTTCCCCTGGTACTGGAATGATCCCTGTGGTCACTGTGGAGCCCCTGTAGAGGGGATTCCTGCACCGAACAGGAGACTGGACTTTGAGACTTCAAAATTCTTTTTATAAGTTCTTGTTTAGCTATAGGAATAGAAGGGAGCAGGCCTTTCTGCCTCACTTGATTTCACTTACACGTCTTCCTCCTAGGCAAATGCCTTTCATTTCTACAAAGGAGACCAAGACCAAGTCAGCATCAGGAGCCTTCACTCGAGCCCCTAAGCATTTGGGGCCACCTAGTGTGATGACGCGGGGAGGAAGGACTTCAACATGCCTCCCACATACTGCATTCAAGACTTCACATTCTCCAGTCACACGGCCTATGGTGCCTTTTATCAGAAAGGGCAGGACTGCTGGGGGGAGCAGGGGCAACGTGGGCAGTATCACAGGTGCCAGTCTGCAAATTCAGAAGAGAAACACAGACTGGCAGGAGCAGCCGTCACAGATGCGGAAGCCGCACAGCATGGCCAAAGCGGGTGCTGAGCTGTCCCTGTCCTCAGAGGGTACTGCCAGCACACCGGGACAGCTGCTGGGCTCCCCGGGGCAGCGAGAGGGCAGGGGCTGCGGGACCAGACTGCTGGCAAGAACTTCGGGCTCTGAACTGCTTTCAACTTTCCCTTAACTTGATTATTTGTAATGAAATAAATAGATGACAATAAAATGCTAAATAAAGATTGCTCTCAAAGATCCTCATTCATTTATAATCTAATTCTATTAGCCAAAGAAAACTCTAAAACGTTCCAGCGACAGAAGCAACCAGTGGGAAGCAGGATGAGGTAGACGAAGCCAGGAAAGCAACATTTTACCCGTATGACCTTGACTAGGTTACCTGCCTCCTTCTTTAAATGGTTACTATGAGCATTAGACATTATACATGTGAAAGGTCTGGCACATGATAAATAGGCACTGTGTAAATGCAGTGATCATTACTGTCAGAAGTGGTGAGAAACAAATTTGAGTTTAATTATACTTTCTGAAATTCTCTCTCTCTCTCTCTCTCACACACACACACACACACATTCTTGCACCTCCTCCCCCCGCCATGTGTTTTCCCTGCCTCTCTCTCTCCTAAGCGCCAAGGGCCCTTTTGCCTCTGTAACTTGTTTCCTGAGCCCATTTTTTTTTTATGGCTCACTTCTTCTACCATAAAAATAATAATAATTATACTCTCTAGAAAGGGCTTCATTCTTGAGTTCTCTTCTAATTCTTTGCCCAACTTAAAATGAAATTGTCTAGTAATATTAAATATAAATATAAAATATCTAGTAATATCTAGTAATCTTAATCTCCTGAGTTAGTTAGAATTCTAAATTTTCATGTAATTAAAAGGACGTGCTTCCCGTAAAAACGTCAATAATCCAGTCGTAAAGAAATTATAAAATGCAAAAAAAAAAAACTAGAAAAACATAAAAAGTTAGATAAAATCTGAATATAAGATCAATTCAAAAGCTAGACAAAAACTGGAAATTAAATAATCTTTGAAGTATAAGATTATGCAAGTAAAAAAAATCTATTTAATATTCTAGAAGTGGCCCTGGCCGGTTTGGTTTAGCAGTTAGAGCATCAGCCCACGGACCAAAAAGTCACCAGTTCAGTTCCTAGTCAAGGGCATGTACCTGGGTTGCAGGTTTGATCCCTGGCCCCAGTGGGGGTCATGTGGGAGGCAACCAATTTTTTATTTTTATTTTTTAATCCTCAGGGATATTTTTCTATTTATCTTCAGACAGAGTGAAAGGGAGAGAAAGGAAGAGAGAGAAACATTAACGTGAGAGGGACACATCAACTGGTTGCCTCCCACACGACCCCAACCAAGGCTGGGGATGAACTGCAACCAAGATACTTGAGCCCTTGGCTGGACTCAAACCCAAGACTCATTGGTCTGCAGGCTGACACTCTACCGCTGAGCCAAACCAGCCAGGGAGGAGGCAACCAACTGATGTGTCTCTCTCACATCAATGTTTTTCTCTTTCTCCTTCCCTCCCTTCCACTCTAAAAAATTAATAGAGCCCGGAAGGTGTGTCTCAGTGGTTGAGCATCGACCCAGGCACCAGGAGGTCGCTGGTTAGATTCCCGGTCAGGGCACATGCCCAGGTTGTGGGCCCGATCCCCAGTGAGGGGGGCCATGCAGAGGTGGCCAATCAATGTTCTCTCTCATCGATATTTCTCTCTCTCTCTCCCTCTCCCTTCCTCTCTCTCTAAAATTAATAAAGAAAACAAAAAAAAAAGTTAAAAAAATTAATGGAAAAATATCCTCTGGTGAGGATTAACAAAAAAAATAAAAAGTCTAGCCCTGGCTGGTTTGGCTCAGCAGTTAGAGTGTCGGCCCACAGACCAATGAGTCGCAGGTTTGATTCTGGTCAAGGGCACGTACCTCAGTTGCAGTCCCAGCCATAGTCAGGTTGTGAGGGAGGCAACCAATTGATGTGTCTCTCTCACATTGATGTTTCTCTCTCTCTCTCTCTCTCTCTCTCTCTCTCTCTCTCTCTCTCTCTCCCCCTCTCACTCTAACTGAAGATAAATGAGAAATATCCTTGGATGAGAGGGGAAAAAAGTCTGGAAGTGACACATGGCATAATTTTACAGCCCAGAGCCAGAATGTATATGTAACCCAGCTTCCAATTAAGCCCGTACTTCCATAAGCCTCATATTTTGAAGCTTAGCACTGTGCTTTGACTATAAAATATATTTGACATGTTTGTTGGATCCAATTAAATTGTTATAAATATGAAATAAATATAATTTATTCCCATCAAACAAACCAGGATATATAGACATCTACATAGCTCTGTACTAATTCCACTGATCCCAAAGTCTCCCGTACCAAACTATAAGGTAGTGGTTTTTCATGAGGCTCAATATGCACAGTGCTTATGGCTTTAATGATTATTACTGACATTGAAAAATATTTCCAAACCCCCAAAAATGACTTCAAAATAAAGTTTTCTTAAAATTCGTAAATAACAAAATCATATCTCTAGAAAAATCCCAAGTTCAAAACTGTTGAAAGTCATAGGATAAATCTATATTTGCTATCATACCTTGAGCATCATAACAAATGTATTAAACTATATTAAAGGAATTAACCATTGTGTATTAATTCGATTGTAAAATATAAAAGTATTTTTAGAACTTTGCACCATCACACATAAAGCAATTTTATAATTATATATATGTGTGTGTATATATAAACATATGTAAATGTTAAAATCTATCAACAAATTGTGAACATGAATAAAATAAGGCTAGATGAGAACATTGGTAAAAGAATTCTAATCTTGATTAAACACAGTAAAAAAATAAAAAGGAATACTGAATCTCAGGCAAATTCATAGATCGAATTCAGTAACAGTTAAAATCCCAATAAGGATTCTTTTTAAATTTGACATAATAATTATAAAATACAAAGTTTTTAAAGCAAGTAATCACATCAGCTAATGGTTTCAATGCATTAATAATTTCTCCCACCACATATTACATATAAAAATTAGGAAAGCAGCCCACCCGGTGTGGCTCACTGGTTGAACACCAACCCAGGCACCAAGAGGTCAGCGGCTCAATTCCCAGTCAGGGCACATGCCCGGGTTGTGGGCCCGATCCCCGGTGGGGGTGTGCAGGAGGCGGCCAGTCAGTGTTCTTTCTCATCAATGTTCACATCTCTCTCTCCCTCTCCCTTCCTCTCTGTCTCTAAACCTCTCTCAATAAAGAAAAAATATAAGGAAAACACAAATAAAACAGGATGAGATATAATGAGGAATGTGCATTATTGTCCAATGGAAAGTCATAGAAAAACTAGGTACCCACAACTGAAAAACAAATACAGAGTCAGATTTGGAACTGGTTACAAGGAAGTCTAGATGAGAGGAGTCAAACGACAACAACAAAAAAGACTGAGAAGCTTAATGAATTTATAGTTCATGCTCACACTTATACATACATACAAATAGAGGGAAAAAAAGCTGCAGGCTGGGAAGCATTGTGTGGCGAATGTAACTACCAAAATATTAATACTCATTTATTGACGTAATACCAGTCTTCACAAAAAAATGGCCAAAGAAAAATATCTAACATTAAAATTTTTAAACCAAAAGCAAGTTACTATCGATCTTACTACCAAGTCTAATAAAATTAAAAAAAAATAAGAATTAAATTTAAATGTTAGCAAAGTGGTCATAACAAAGATATTAAACTACAAGATAGCCATATATTATTAAATATATGACTTAAAATACAGTTATATATTATTGATGGCTTAGAGCCCTAATACTTTCCAAGAATTCTATTTTTTAAATATAAAATACAAAGAAGTTAATTTTATGACACAAAAAAATAGGTAAAGGCATTCAATTATTGGTAAACTTTTAAGCAGCTGAGGATATATTACTAAAATAAAACCTATGCTTCTTAATTTTCTTTCTCCTATACCCTTAAAGATATGAGGTAAAACTCTATATGTAAAAACCATAAGTGAAGAAATGAAACCCCAGAATATATACATTTGTTCATTGTTTCAGTCAACGGTTACCTAATTCTGACAATATACCAGGAACTATGCTGGCATTAGATGGTGAGCAACACGTACTCTCACCTGTATGAAACGCACAGTCAAGT